TTTGGAGAAACCTTTCTCTGCTCATTCAACTGTGACTAGTACAGTTAAGAGTATTTTATAGGCTACAACAACATTGGAATAAATGTCTGAAACTTTATTTTGAAATATAAAGTACATCTAGAGCTCTTGATCCAGATGGAATAATTTTCCTTAAAAAATTTAACTCTTCATTCACATTTGTTTGGTATAAGTCTGAGTTCGATTTAAAATGTAAATTTATACAATGGCACTTTAGTGCTTCCTTTGACATTTCCTGTAAGTTGTAGAGGTTGTATAAGACACTAAAAGCAGCTTTTTGATTTATGTATAATTAAAATATAAAATAAAATGTATGTTATTAAAATTATATTCAGATAAAAATAGTGTTCTTGTATACACAATAATTTCTAAGACTATGGATATTAGCTTTGCAACCTTGCAGCAGTTTTCAAAGCCAGAGATTCCACTCTGAAGAATTCTGGCAAATCCTTGATATTAATGTGGTTCAGGACATGCTACTCCAATATATGACAACATGACATATTGAATATTTTAAGCCAAAGGAATTCAAGAAATGGCAGGTGCAGGAAGGACTTTCTGACCTTCCTATGAAGCAGGTCATAAGACGTTCATGTGAATGGTGCCTTTCCTATCTTCTAAAGAGATTGTCTTTATTTCCAAAGCTGGAGCGATGCCCAGATAAATATGAACAAACAGGCCTTGCTAAAGTTCCCCCAGTTTACACCTCTTAGTTCATGTCCATTTTTATCCTATCATACTTTTCCACGTTTCTTTATTCTTCAGCAAACCTACCTTGAAAACAATCAGGTTTAACCATTTCTTAAGGTCTTCAATTCCTTATGGAGTCTCCTGTGTCGCATAAAATGTATATTAAACAAATTTGTATGCTTTTCTCTTGTTAATCTGTCTTTTGTTACAGAGATTCAGCCAGGAACCAAGAAAGGTAGGAAGGAAAAGACAGTTTTCCTCTCCTGCAATATTTTTTATTGCAATGTACATTTGTATACTTTTATCTTGTAGTAATATACTGACAAAGTTTATTGCCTTAGTGCCAGAAAATGCAAGGTCACAAATAATTTTTGATACTCTTGAATTTTATTACTGTGCAGATGCCACAGAGAGAGGCTTTATGGATGGAAGGGAACACAATTTACCTTCGTGAAGAGCCCCTTTTTTTCTCCTGCGGCTGCAGCATGCTCCCACTGTTGCTTCCGCTGCCACCAGTCTGGGCCAAGGTCTGGCACAGCCCACGGCTGCCCTACACCTGCCTTGCCAGGTGTTGGGCCAGCTTCTTAGAGCACATGTTGTCTGCTATACCACAGGCCCATGGGGTTGGGGGTAGTGTAATTTTTTTGTTCTTATTTCTACTTTTCTGTATTTTGTTCAAGACCAGGAATATTTAAATAACTAGACAACAAAAATTTATATTTTAATGTAAACTATATTATTATCTCTTTTGTAAACTATATTGTTACCTTTGGAACATTGCATTTGGCCATTTATGTACGTTATATTTCAATAGAGGATATCATTATGTTGCAAAAAAGCATAGGGGGCAGTGTTAAAAAAATGTTTAACAATACTTGCTAAAGCTTGGTAGACTTTATTCAGGACCATTGTGATAGTTATAGGGACCACTGCAATGTAGTTCTTCAGTGGGGAAGAGAGATTGGACTCAACTTCAAATACAGAAAGAACCCCCTACTCTCGATATCTCTTGCCAAACTGACTTAGTAGGGTTCTTTGCTAAAACTGGATTGTACAAGGAAGTACATTGATGCCCTAGGAAAAGGTTCAGAAGAATAACTACATTTTGGTCAAGCAAAGAATCTTTGTCACCAGTAATCTGAAATTTGTTTTATTACAATATCTTGCCCTTGATTTGTTTTTAGTTGTGTCCTAATCTCTTTCAGAAATATGATCCATCTTAATTTGCATGAGTGACTTAATCTATATGAGCCTCAGAGAGGCACTTCTACAATAATTTATGTTTTATTATAAATTGCTTTGAGTGGACACAAGGTGTTTTAGGAGGTAATATTGCTCTAATTATAAATCCTTTAAAAATAATCAGAGGCTAAGTAACAATAAATAAATCTAATTTACTTTTGGGCCCCTTTATTAGCCAAGATGGGTGTTGCACACTTTAAGAGAGAAGCAGATGGCTTGATGGGTTGGCATATCAATGTAAACCTCTCTCTGACATCAGTACTTCTATGCTTTTGCTACAACATAAGCAGTATTGAATTAGGAGATCATAGGGCTGTGAAGGAACTAATTTTAAAAAACATTTACTAATTGATTGTCCTTGAGAAGACTTGGAGTATTTCACTATTTTAAGTTAATCTCAAATTTGTCATCTGAGCTAAATGGAATACAGATGCCGCTGAACCTAGAGGAAAGATTAGGTAACCAGGAATCCCACTTTGAGGCTTCCTTTATCTTTTCTTTTTATGATCTCTTCGGGGTCTCATCCCTGAGTCCTGTACTACTCTCCATGGTCATGGAGCACTCTGATACTGTTTTCGTCTAAAAAAGAAAACAACTCCAGTAAGAAGGGGCTGATCAGGGCTTTTCCTTGGACAAGGATGACTTAAGGATGAGTTGAGGAAGGAAAAAAGACTTTCTTTCTAAAAGTCTACTACTGGCTGGGCGCAGTGGCTCATACCAGTAATCCTAGCACTTTGGGAGGCTGAGGTGAGTGGATTACCTGAGATCCGGGGTTCAAGATCAGCCTGACCAACATGGTGAAACCCTGCTTGTACTAAAAATACAAAAAATTACCTGGATATAGTGGTGTGGGCCTGTAATCCCAGCTACTCTGGAGGCTGAGGCAGGAGAATCACTTGAACCCGGGAGGTGGCGGTGGTGAATCATTGCACTCCAGCCTGGGTGGCAGAGTGAGACTTCATCTCAATAAAAAAAAAAAAAAAAAAAGTCTACTATTAGAGTCTTTATTTTATTTTATTTTTTGAAGTAGGGTCTCACTCTGTAGCCCATGCCAGTCTTGAATGCCTGGCCTCAAGCAACCCTCCTGCCTTGGGCTCCCAAAGTGCTGGGATTACAGGTGTGAGCACAGGGGCAGTGTTTAAATAGCTTGCACCTGGCCTACAGTCACTCTTTTGGGTTAAGAGGTTCTCTCTAGAAAGTCTCTGTTAATTGTAGGTAAGGATTGATACATTGATTAATTACAACTACTGTGATTTCAGCAAAGACAATTTCACTATCCCAGACAGCTGTTAACTTAGACTTTTAGGGTGTTAAACACACACCCATACACACACACACACACACACACACACACACACACACACACTTGAGTAGCTTTGGGTCGTCCAATCCTATACTTAGCACATTGTAGCACAATGTATCTTCTTAATACATTTTTATTAAGTTGATAGGCAAAGAGGAAACATTATAGTGTGTTATGTTAGGAGATAGACTCAGGTGTGTCTAGATACTAAAGTCTGGATAGTAAGGTCACCAAGGGTGAAAGGTTTTGATGAAAGAATGAAAACATTCGTGTCCAGGATTTCCAGTTTCATTTCTCAGTCACTAATTTCAAGTCACCAAATAAAGTGAAAGTGAAACGTATTTTGAGTTACAATAAGTTTATCTTAATTCATTGAGTTTTCAACTGCTCAGATATGTCTTAAAATTTTTTAAAAAGTAACTTGTTATAGTAAAGACCACACAAATACACAGATAGTAGAAGAACAATTTCTGGATTTTATTTTTTATGTCGGTGAACTTTTTAAGGATTTAGGGAGGATGAGAATAAAAGGGTGACTTTTTATTTTCCGTTTTTCTATCTGGATGTGTCAAATTCCCGGTAACTTCTAACACTCAGCAATGGAAATTTACAAGGTGCCTGAAAAAACTAATAGAATTTTCAGACCTGGAGAGATTCTTGTAATCATCACTCTGGGATGTATTATTATAATCAGTATTGAAAAAAAGAAAACAATCTTTCAGATAAATTGGAAGTTTTGGAGCCACAGCCAGAGGCCCTAATACAAATCCTCCCCATCCCCCGCTTCTTCCCTGCCCGGTACTGAATTAGCAGGACAGTTCAAACACGCCCACAGCCCAGGAAATAATGAGACCCAAGTGATCCAGTTAGATAGAAAAAGTAGTTTGCTTGGCATCTTCCAAATTATCTTGAATTTAAGCAAATAATAAAATAAGAAATATTTCAGAAGCCAATTCAGCTCCCAGGCCCAAACCAAACCTCGAACCTGGGACTTTTTGTAAGTGCGGACCAAGAAACGGGCTGCAAAGTTAAACAGCCGGTGGCGACTCTAAACGTACCCGGGCAGGGAGGGCAGGATGTCGTTGTCCCTTCTCCTGACTTTGGGGAAGGTGCTCCCTGTCCCCGCGGGTTCCTCCGCCGGAGGCTGGGTCTGCGGGAGGCAGCGCCTGGCGGGTGAGAGAAAGCCCGGGCAGGAGAGCACGAAGCCGGCGACTGGACGCCAGCGCGGGACAGGTGGACGGCGTCTCTCCCGGCGCCGCTGCTGTTGTCCCGGGTGCTGAAAAGCCGGGAACTTCACGAGAAGCAGCGGCACTTTTGTCCCTGGAAGGTGGGTGTGGGGGTTCCAGGCTGCGCACCTGCTAAACCGCCTGGTCCTTCCGGGAGGGGTCTGCCAGATGTGCTCCTCCCCAGCCCCATTCGGGGGAGAACAATGGGGGCGGGGGTGTGGGGGTGAGCACTGCCGGGAACCCCGTGGTGCCCTTCCCCGCCTCTCCCGGGCAGCCGAGCTCCGCGAACCCCGCTCCACCTGCGCGCGAGGCGGGCCGGGGGCAGAGGGCGCGGGACTGTGCGGTGAACCAGCCCGCGTCCCGGGATTGGGGGGTGGAGGAGAGCGAGCGGGCATGCGCAGTGGGGCGGAGGAGGTGGAGATGGCCGGGGGAGGCGGGGGGACTGCTGTTTATTTGCAGCTGGGCCAACTCGGCGGCGCAGGCGGCGGTGGAGCGCTGGGCGCTCGCGGCGGGTCCAGCTGCCGCAGCACTATGCCGGAGCTCCCCTCCGGGCAGCCGCCGCGCGCCGCCGGGGCCCCGATAGGGGAGGATGCCAGACGCCCGGGAGAGGCCAGGGCAGCAGCGGCGGCGGCAGCGCGATGGTGGTGACCACCTCTGCCCGAGGCGGCGGCGGGGACCGCGCACCCTCCCGGCGGCGGGGCTGCGGGCTCGCGCGGGCCGGGGCCGCGGCGCTGCTGGCCGGGGCGAGCTGCCTGTGCTACGGCCGCTCCCTGCAGGGCGAGTTCGTGCACGACGACGTGTGGGCGATCGTGAACAACCCCGACGTGAGGCCCGGCGCCCCGCTCCGCTGGGGCATCTTCACCAACGACTTCTGGGGCAAGGGCATGGCCGAGAACACCAGCCACAAGTCCTACCGGCCGCTCTGCGTCCTCACCTTCAAGTGAGTCGGTCCCTCACCTCGCGCTAGCCGCCGCCGCCGCCCCCCCTACACTCCGCCCTCCCTCGGGCCGGGAGAAGTTGCGGGACTGGCTTGGGGGCATTTCATTTTTGCCGCCCTTTCCCTCCACGCCTCCCTCCTCTCCAGGCTCTGCATGGCACTTTGCTCCGGGATCCAGGGCCCGGCTCCTGTGGGCTCTCGGGGCGGTTCGGGAGGCGCCGGCTGGGGAGTTGGGATCGAGTTTCTCAAGTATCTGCGCTCTCGGCGGGCTTCTCTCTCCAGGCAGGGCTGGGAGCAGGCTGGTGGAACCGCCTCCGCACCCCATCGCCTGCCGGATCGTGACCAAGTGGGACTAGCGCGGACCCATAGGGTTCCGGAGGGGTGGCGGTGGTGGCGATGCTTCCAAGTTGAGAATTTCTCGGAGGCTGTTGGGCAGCTTTGCAGATGAGAAGTGTATCAGCCCCTTAAGGTTTTCGTTCAGATGAGACGAGGCGGGAGCCTTGAGCTGTCAGGGCTGCGTGGGTTTAGGGGAGGAGCGGAAGAGGGAGCAGAAAATTCCCCGTAGCCCCCGCTTTGCACCCTTGGCTGCTCCTCGAGGCTCACCAATTTGCCAGACCGCTCCAGATCCAGACTTATAGAAGGTGCAGAGCGAAGGTACGCAGACCATAGGCTTCTCCAGGGATCCTGGGGTCCCAGCTGAAACAGTTTTTCTTTTACAACCTCAGAGTCATGATTCAGCATTTTTGGTGTGAATAAGTGTAAAGGGAAGGGAGAATATGCCAGGTTTTTGTGGGGTGGAGTATTTTCTTGAATTTAAAAAGAAAACTAGTTTCAGAGGAAAAAAGAAGCGCTCATTTGAGGGAAGTGCTTACACATCAAGAGCTTGACTCAACCCCTTTATAATGTGGCTCAGCATTTAAGCTCATTTTAATGCTCCGGTCAAAACTGTGGAAATAATATTGGTGTGGTATTATTGGCGTTTTAAGCCTTTTTCCAACGGGTGTAATAGGAACCCGTGTTTATGGTAATGATTATTTGAGACTGGGTTGGCAGCTTGAAAAGCCTGTTCTGGCTGGGAGGCTTAGTTCTCTTGACAGGTGTCTCTGATGACTCAGAAAAGAAACCATAGCAATCGGCAACAATTCATGTTCTTTTGACTTAAATCTTACACTGAAAGTTTAATGTTTTTAAGGAGAGTGAGAAAACCACATTTGACTCTGAAGAGAATATAGCATAGACATTTGTCCTCTTAGAAAGCTGTTCTGGATTTCTGCTGAAAGATAACTTCGGCTAACCTCGTTATTCCGTTTCCCAGATGTTTCTTAAAATTTACTTAGATGGGACGAATATAAATGTTTCACTTCTAGATTGACCTGCTTTTTTATTTATTACAGTCAGAGTTGTTGGTTAATTTAAGGTGTGCAAGTTCACAACATGAGATGTGCTTGCTGCCTTTTTAACAGCCATGGAGACCATCCTGGTCACAGGTCTGAGTACTTTTCAATTAAAAAGGGCAGAGTCAAATGCCTGTGCCTGCTTGCTGGAGAGTAGGAAAGGGTGTTTTCACTTCTTGACTTTCTAGAATGTTTTCTTCTCTTTTCTGTGTTCTCTCTCTCCCTCTCCCTCTCTCCCTCCCTCCCTCTCCCTCTCCCTCTCTCATTTTGACATGGGATCTTACTGTGTCCTCCAGCCTGGAGGCAGTGGCACCATTATACCTCACTGCAGCCAGAAACTCCTGGGCATAAGCAATCCTCTTGCCTCAGCCTCCCAGGTAGCTGAAACTACAGGCACATGCTATGCACCCAGGTATATTTAAATTTTTTTTTTTTTTGTAGTTATGGGGTCTTCCTATGTTGTCTAGGCTGTATTGAACTCCTTGGCTAAGCAATCTTTAAGTCTCAGCCTCCCAATGTGCTGGCTTGTATGCATGAGCCACCCTACCTCACCTAAAATGTTTTATTTTTCTTCCTAATGGAGACAGCAGGCACAGAAGAGAGACGGATTGAGGGAGTAGACAAAGAGGTAAGGTCATCGATTAAGAGGAAAATTAGCTAGGGGTTGACAGAACAAGAGCAAAGGAGAGTTGAGGGGTTTGGGAGGAAGAGAGCTGAGGGACTCTTGTGGTAGTCAATGATTGTAACAAGCAGCTTGGTGTTGAAGAGGCATGGCTCTCTATATATTATATGCTACTGCCTATGAAAGATACACTCTCTTTTTTGAGAAGACTGAGCTACAAATCTAGAAGAGCAACACAGAACTAATTTGAAAGAGACAGCTGCCTCCTCAGAAAGAGAATGTTAAGTAGTCATTCTATGCTTACATGTACTGATTTAAATAAGACTGGACAGTTTTCTCTATAGTCAGCCGAGGTGAAACTGCATCTTCTAGTGCAATAGCATGAAGCTGGAGGACATCAATGACTTTAGACCCACATCATTCTACAGGATGTTACAAGGAAGGACAGAAAGCCACATTTATTAACTATTCACTATGAACCAAGCATTGGCCTAGATACTTCACATAGATTATGTCTTTATGATTTTTATTTTACTGAAAACACAATTCAAGGGGCCCTTTAAATATGTGCAAAGCATTTTAGCTGAATCTTAAATTATGCTCAAGTGAAAAACTTTGAAATTTCAAACCAATTAAAAAAACTTTTAAAAATATAATTGTTCATTCCCATGAAGTTTAAAGTAATAATACAGAGGTTCCTTATGCTCTGTCCATTTCCCCCAATGGTAGCATGCTGCATTACTATGGTATAATATTACAACCAGAAAATTGACATTGATGCAATCTACAGCATTTAGTCAGATTTCACCCATTTTATATGTACTTCTATTTTTTTTTTAATTTTGCTAAGTGTGTATTTAGTTCTGTGCAGCTTTATCATATGTGTAGATTTCAGAGACTACCTCCACAGTCAAGATACAGAACAGTTCCATCCCAAGGATACTTGGTACTTCTTTATTGCAGTCATGGACACCTAATCTATAACAACTGCCTAATTCATATCCCCTCACCCTAATCCATAATAGCCATGAATCTATTCTCCATTTTTATCATTTTGTCTTTTAAATACTGTTGTATAAATGGAATCACATAGTATATAACCTATTGAGATTGGCTTTTTTTATTTAACATTCAAGCTGTTGCATGTATCCATAGTTCATTCATTTTTATTGCTGAGTTGTATTCCATTGTATAGATATACCACAGTTTGTATAACCATTCACCTGTTGAGGACATCTGGGTTGTTTCTAGCTTTTGGCTATTACAAATAAAGCTGCTATAAAAATTAATTTACAGGTTTCTGTGTAAACATAACTTTTTATTTCTCTGGGATAAACGTCCAGGAGTCCAATTGCTGGGTCATGTGGTGGCTGCATGTTTATATGCTTTATATGAAGCTGCCAAACTGTTTTCTGGATGTTCCTACCAATAGTGTCTGAGTAATCCAGTTTCTGTGCATCTCTGCCAGCACTTTGTATCGTTGCTGTTTTTTATTGTAGCCATTCTGATAGGTATGTAGTGATATCACACCTATATATGTACTGCATTAATGTACCATTACCTAATGGCTGATGATATTAAACATCTTTTCATGTGCCCGTTTTCCCTATTCTCTTTGATAAATGTGCCTTTGTGTCTTTTGCCCATTTTTAAGTGTGTTTTTTTTAATGCTGAGTATTTAAGTTCTTTATGTATTCTAGATACAGGTACTTTGTCAAGTATGTGATTGGTAAATATTTTCTCCCACTCTGTAGCTTGTCTTTTGTCCTCCTCAAAGGATCTTTCCTAGTGCAAAACTCCAAACATATGTTTTATTAAAACATAAGTTTAAGCCGGCGCGGTGGCTCAAGCCTGTAATCCCAGCACTTTGGGAGGCTGAGGCGGGTGGATCACGAGGTCAAGAGATCGAGACCATCCTGGTCAGCACGGTGAAACCCCGTCTCTACTAAAAATGCAAAAAATTAGCTGGGCATGGTGGCGCGTACCTGTAATCCCAGCTACTCAGGAGGCTGAAGCAGGAGAATTGCCTGAACCCAGGAGGCAGAGGTTGCGGTGAGCCGAGATCGCACCATTGCCCTCCAGCCTGGGTAACAAGAGCGAAACTCCGTCCCAAAACAAAAACCAAAAGCATGTTTATTTTTGATTCATTGAATGTATGTCACACATACTGAGAACTAGAAATTCCTTAAGAATAAATGTAATTTATAGATGCATAATGCTTATTGCTATAAAGGTGCTTGTTTGTATACTAATAAATAATAAAGGTATTTAGGTAGCAAAGATATTAATTATATATTTTTTCAAATAAGGAATTAGCTAAAATTTGAAATGAGGAAATGGGTCATCAGACCATCTACTTTTACCAGTTTTGATGGCGTGGGATGATGGAATATGAAGGCAGCTTACCAAGATGTGGTGGCTTTGCACTACATCACTTTAGCTAAGTTGGGACTATGTTTCTTAGAATTGCTTTTGCAGGATGATCTGGGTTAGGGCTAACCATAAGAAAAATTTCTGCAAGATTTGGAGGGTGAAAGTGAAGTGGCTGTGGTCGCATTCAGAAGGTCGGCATGGGCTTTGTTGCTGCTAGGCCTCGTGTATGTTGCCACAGAAATGCTGGTGAACTTGCTGTTGGTTTGCAGCAGCAGCCAGGCCCTCAGCTCCTCCAGTGCTTTCCAGATGTTTCTCTTTCAGGTACTAGGAATCATGTGCAGGTGTGGTATGCCGCTCTGCAGGAAAGAGTGCCAGACTTTTTGCAAGCCACTAGCATTATTACAGTTGGAGCCTTAAAGGCAGTAGGAGCCAGACATATATTTTAGCTCATCCTTGTGGGTTCCAGCTTGCCCTTGCTTCCTCCTCCTTGAAGTTCATTTACTCTCTCTTCCAGAATGGCCCTGCTGCTCTGCTGGCTTTCAGCTTGAGTTAGACACAGAAGCATCACAGTTACATAGGCTATTTAACCAGCTCCAGCAATTGTAAAATGTCAG